CCGGTGAGTCGTCCCCTTTAAATCCAAATCCAATCCGATGCTTTCCGGAACAACAGTTGGCGCGTTTTTTTTACGTCGTTGGCGCTAGTACTTTCTAATCTATACAGTAGTAATCAACAAACCAAATGCTGCGATTTCTTGAGAACTAGGCTGTAGCCTAGTGGCAAGGGTGGGCACTGGCGCTCCCTGCGGCCAGGGTTTGAATCCTGTCAGGGTCGAATTTCTGGTTCCTGCCGCCAGGGTTCGAATCGAATTTCTGGTTCTTCACCCGGGTGGGCTTCTTCTATAAAACTAAGTCTTGGGTGCTAGTGCCCATGGATTTTATTTTTTTAAAGGCTAATTCTAAACTATTTATTTTACATTGAATAAACAATTTCAAAAAATTGGGCATATATTTTTTGAAACAACGCAACATTTTTTCATTCTCACGAGTATTTTTTGAAAATTGTTCACATCTTCTAAGAACCGAGCAAACAAATTGTATATTATGTTAACATTTTTTCAAAATCATGGTTTTGAATTTCTTAACTAAATTTATGTTTTTAAAATAATCATATATGCATATAAAATAAGATGAAAATAAAAAAAGAGGAGAAAAATGTAAGTGACATTAGCATGATGACTGATGTCGCTTGGCTAAACCTAGGCATTCTCCGGGTCGGGCTTGGTTCCGACCTCAAAATCACAAGCCCGAGCTCGGCCTAGCCTGGCCCAAAACACAAGAATAGTGCACTTTTTTATTGAAACAATGATTTTGGGGTATTTAAAATATATATTGTACCTATATTTTTAATAAAATAATGATTTATGCCATGTTCGGGCTTATTTTCGAGCTTTTGTGCTGGCTTTCAGGCGGGAAAGCTAAACCCCGAGCCCGGTCCAGATGTCGGGCTTTTGGGTCGGGCTGTCCATGCCCAGGTCTATGCTAGGCCAATCACATGCGCCCTTTAGGCGTAGCGGCCTATTGCCTAGCAGGATAGCGACCAAACGCTCAAACACCGCTCCCCGTTGCATACTTTTGGGCGTCCTATGAATCGTTTTTTTTGTGTGAGTGTGTTTTCTTTGGATAATTTTTCATTTTCATTCTTCCCTTTCTTTTTTCATTTTCTTTCTTTGTTGATTTTCCTTTTTTCATGTTTTTTCGTTTTATTTAATTTTCCTCTTTTCTTCCCCTTTTCTTTTTTATTCCCTTTTCTATTTTTTTCGGCATCTTTAAAATTCATGATTTTTTTGAAATTATGAACATTGCTTCAAATCGTGATTATGTTTTTGAAATAATGAATTTTTCGTGAAATCATGATTATTTTTAATTCTCCAACATTATTTATAAATTTGCAAACACTAAAATTGTAAATAATTTCTGAAATAATAATTTTTTTCAAATTAAAAACAGACTTTGAAATTATGAATATATTTTTCAGAGTTGTGAATATTTTTTTATTTGATTAATTTTCAACTGACAATTTTTTTATTTTGGGAACAATTTTGAAATTCATGAGCATTTGTTGAATCGGCTAACCGTTTTAGACTTAATAATATAGTTTTTGAAACTTGGGAAGAATTTTTGAAATTCACGAATATTTTTGAAATTTGTGAACATTGTTGAAAAATTTATGAACAGTTTTTTAATTCATGATTTTTTTCTAATTCATGAACTTTTTTTAATACGTGAACTCCTTTTAAAATCATGAACATTTTTTTGATTTTCTATACTTTTTTTTTGAAATTTCAAACAATTTTCGAATCCACGATGTTATATGATTTCCTGAATTTTTTTAAAAAACATGAATATTTTTTGAATTCATGAACATTTTATGAATTCTTGAAACATTTGTTTTGAAATATGCAAGTTTTTTCAGGTTTTGAACTTTCTTAAAGTCATGAATTATTTTAAACAAAAAAGAAGTGATTTTTTTTTTGAAAAAAGCAGGGTGTGTCACGCCCATACATGGGCCGGCGCTAGGCGCCGGTCAGCTGCCGAAAACTCGGTCGGTTGCACCACATCCACATGATTGAGTGTGTAACGACTGTTGGATCAGTGGTCCCCCGTAACAAAAAAGAGTCAACATGAAGCAGGTGTTCCCCAACCTCCCCTGCATAGCCCAGCACCACCAGAGCGTTGTTTCGCTCGCAAAAAAATTACAACCAGCGCGCTCATGGCCGAAATTGCCACCGGTTGAACCACCGCTCGCCGATGCTTGACACCGTCACCCCACCACGGTTGCTTGCTTGCCGCGTCTGGTTGCATTCAGTTCCGGCTCACCGTCGTGATGGTTGCAACATCGGGGCTCCCGTTCCAGCTCACTATATGTGGATTGTAGCATTTGCCGCCATCATTTCTAGTTCGTCGCCGTGCTGGTTCCAGCTTGCCACCTTGTCGGTTGTAGCATTGAGGACTCCTCCGAGATGCAGCTCGTCGTTGTCCTCGTGGCTGTTGGAAATTATCCCTAGAGGCAATAATATTGTATTATTATATTTCCATATTCATAAATAAGTGTCTATATTTCATGCTATAACTTCCATGATCCTGAAATATGCGGTTCAGTGGAAATCTCATATGCACGTGTGAAATGATAAACGAATAAAATGAAGGTTCATAGTCTCACCTCTAAGACTAGCTCAAGTGTTGTTGGTGATCATGTTTTCCGGCTCTTTGGGTATTGTTACGTGTAACGGTAGTTCTAAAACAACATTGAGATTATGACATTGGAAGAACGATCATATTAAATCGACCCAAACTTGTTTTATATGAACTGAGATAATATCGTGTGTAATGAATTGTAATAACACAGAGTGTTAACATGTGATTTTTATCCTTACACCATGAGAGTACCGTAGTCATTATTACCGTACGATGGACTTTGGGGTTGCTCAAACATCACTTGTAACACGGTTATCATAACGACAAGTTACATGTTCATCGAAAAGTTTGACAAGGGAGATTTGCTCCTTCGACGATGGAGAGATATTTTTAGTGCCCTCTCGATGTGACGACATCCATCATCGTCTGGCCAGACATAGGTGACTACGTCACGGGGATGCCGGAACACAACAACGAGAAAGAAGAACAAAACCGGTAACGAGGATAACGGTATAATGAGCATGTGATGACTCAGGAGGATAACGATGCATCCCTGCTTTTGTGAAGTATCATGAAGAAAAGGGAGCATCACATGATAACCAAAGGTTCACTCGAATTTCATTCCTGCGCTCATAGGGATAGATATGGACATCCACGATTCCGATATCGGTCATTGAACGAAGGGTCACTACAAGAAATATGTCCAATTGTGACCTTCTCTCAATGACCCCAGCTGACTTGGTCGTAAATCCACGGCCATTTCGTGTCAGGACCCCGACTCAATGCCACATCGATCTAGCATGTAACACCTCATATCACTTTGCGGCCTCAC